CAGTTTCATGAATTGCGCTTGTTTGTACCTAATATATTTTTTATATTTCTGAGAAAATCTAATATATCATAAAAATTATACCAAACATCGAGGTAAGATTTAAATTTATATAATTGATGAACTTTTGTACTTCTTTTTATTATATATTATTATAATTAAAAAAATATTTAATTTTCAACATTTTTAGAATATATTTAGTTGATTATTTCCCAATTATTTTCAGAATGGTAAAAGCTTAATTTTAAAATGATTGTTAAAAGTAGTTTTTTTTTAAATAATTGATATGTTAAGCATTGGCGGATCCAAAGGGGGGACAATGGGGGCAATTGAGCCTCTCTTGAGCCTAGTAACCCTAGTAGTTGATGCCGTTGACAGTTGATACCCAATTAAAAAAAATAGCCCACCCAACAACATAAGATACATAAGTGAATTATATGTAATATAAACTAAAAGGACTATAAACTAATAATATGTATACAAAAAAATATTATACCAAATATTATGAGCTTTTTTTGCATGGTCAGCTGCAAATTCTGATTTAAAATTTGGTGCATGTTTAAAATTAACACTCTTTCATGATCGATGAAAATAATGGTCAAATTACTGAGTATCATCGTAATAAAATTGGTAACGCAAGTAATATTCTTAAAGTTTTGGTAACATTTAGAAACGATGATATGAGATCATTTTCAAAAATATATTGGAACTCGAAGGCCATTTTAATGTCTGTATTGTAAAATTAAAGCCTTTAGTTTATTATAAAAAATCATTTCCATCCTTGACGCTTCTCGTGACTCATATCTTAAAGTTTTATAGAAAAATCTTTGCAGTATTTCAGCAAGTCTTCATCCGAGTGACTTTCTAAGTTGGCAAAAATCAAAAATATCTTAAAATGTTTGGACTTCATCAAATCTGCTGCGTAGGGACGAAATTTTATAAAGAGTGATCCAGAAAAAATGTTTCTAAAGAAGGCCATGACCGACAAAGACAGAGATACAAGATATGTCCGTGATAGGTACGCGCGGCCCTGAATTAAATCCAAACTGACACTTAAAAAGAAGAAGATTTGCACGCTCGACATAAGTGAATTTTTTCAAGGTCTATTTTAGAAACCTTTTTTGTGGATCACTCCTAATATTCTAGTAAACTCTTGAGAATTCACTTTAACATGCTTTACATTTTTATTAACGTATTTATTTTAAATAAAATATTGTGTCAAATACTTACTGAACCAACAAATTTGTAATTACGGATTTTTAATACAAATGAATTTGCTTTGTGGGAAATATTTTAATCCAAAAAAGAAAGCAATGTACCTACTTTTTTATTAAATTACTGCAACGCATATACTGTATAGTTTCTTTGACATGTCAAAATTATAACGTAATTTGATTTAAAAAAAAAACACTTAGATCGTAAGTGGCCCTCGTATTAGGTATACAAGACACGTTAAACAACCAAAAAGAGATTCACTTTAAATCTGAAGTTTCGAACTAAAACTTTGTTTAACTTTAATAGGTAGGCACTCAGAATTCTTCTGGACCTTTTAAGGATCAGGATCGGATTCAGTATGAGCTTGTAGCGAGTTTAAGGGGTTATGTAATGTTGGGAATGAGGTGTTAATACATTTTGACCTAAAATATTTATTATGTCACCTTTAGTCGCTAATGCAGCAATGAAATATCTCGATGCCTATAACGATCCTTCCAATCATATTTTCTCTTCAAGTTAGGTAAATCGCCCTCTTCTATTTGATATGCTCCTATAGTCTGAATGAAAGAGGAGTGCAGTAAAAGTGAAGATATTCCATAAGCGTACTTTGGAAAATAAGTTTCTATAATATAAATAAGGTTACGGCATATAAAATGGTAGGCAGATACAGGCTTACGATCTTTTCTGGTTATATTCTCCCAGAAGTATCTTGGCCTATCCTATCACCAAGAGATTGTTCCAATTATCGGTTCTTCTACGGCCCAATTCTTTTTTAATCTCTCCTAATATTATTTTACTGCTAATACCTGGGAACAGCTTACAAAGGGTGTTTGAGGCCCTTTCCTTGCGAGACTAAGGGGTTACTTTGGGAGGAAAAAATCGACAAAAAGATGATTCTCGTATGATAGGCGTGTGATTCAATCGATTTAAATAAAAAGTTATGCACGTGTAAGTAAATATATTATACTAGTATTTTTTGTAGTAGAGGTAATGACAATGTATATAAATATATATATGCAACCCCTGGCTACTGATGTTGTCGCAGTTAGTTAGAGGCGAAGTAAGCTTAATCTTTGTCTTTCACTAAGACTGCCACGGAATGTGTGGTTACTAATTTTATTGAAGTAATATAACGTAAGTATGTTGAGATAAAGGACTGCAAGGCATTACAAAGGGTACTTCTAAATGTAATTTTTGGGCTATTCTGCTGCCTAAATATGTTAACCAGCTCTTATTTTGGAAACTGTTTAACCAGGGTGTAGATATAGAGCCTTTAAAATATTTAATTTATGCAAACTTATGAAAAAAATGTGAATTATCAGAAATTAAATGGGTACGCATATCGAACAGAGTGAGAAGACCATCTACCACGGAATCTAAGACAACTCCTGAATCCTTCAACATCCATAGAATCTACAACAAACCCCTACCGTGGATTATGTAATACTCTTCACCTGTATTCAACATATTTTAATCACCAACCTGCAAATGAGTCCCACAAGGGAGCGTGTTAGACCCCTACTCTACCTTCTTTTCACGTCCAATCTATTAGTCCATCCAAAACTAACAACAATATTCTTTGCCGATGACGAAGCAATAATTGTTAACCTAATGAGGTAGCAAGTCGTCTTACAACAACTTTACAAAATTCAAGGATGCGGAGACTAAACAAAAAGCTCTTTTCAGTTTAATAGATAACAAAAACTTAAGCAATCTCTGAAGACTGGTTGATGAGCTAACAGATGCCTATATATCAGGAGGATTCACAATGGGCCTAGTGCTGTAGGCCAATCCATTCTCCTTATCTAATAGATTCAGATATAATTTAAGCTTATTCCCAATAATATTGGTTGCTATTTAAAATCTTGGCTTAAATATGTATTCGTCAAAAAGTGGCATACGGGATTTTCTAGAATAGAAGATTTACGGTTTATTTACAGTTGTAGAAGTAAATAATTTTCTTTTATATTTTTTACATTTTTCTATTATTTCATGCATACTTCAAATCTTTTTTTTATTTTCTTTTACGTTTAGAAAAATTCTTAACGTTCAACAAAACTATTATTTATTTGATTTTATATTAGTTTTCATTTAAATAACAATTTGGTTTTAGTCTTCTTTTTTTTTTAAATTATTTCGTGTAAAAACCAACATAAACGATGTTTAAAATATAAAAAGAGATTAAATTCATAGATAAAGTTTAGGGGGACCTACGTTAATTGTTGTAAATATCCGAGACCTGCCCTGTCAAGGATCACGCCCGGTTCTGATTTCAAAGAAAGTTTTTGACCTTTTAATAAAAACAACATGGGTTGTAGGTGTAAAAAATTTCTAAGTAGGTCGACAAAATATACGATTACATATTGGTTGGTATATAATATACAAGCGAAGAGTCGAATAAACCTTTGATGGAAATTTGGGTAATCTACATATATTATTGAAAGGATGATTCTAGGTCAGCTGCTGTTGAATGCACTGTTTTAAATTAAAGTTTAATAAAGCAGGAATCAAATTTTAAAGTTAATTAGTGATACTGATTTATGCGAAAATTTAATTTAATTTATAAAATTTACGTGTTTATTTTGATTTAGATATTGATATTGAAAAAAGACCAGTGAACTATTAAAACCGTCACGAACTAAACCAATTTAAATTAATTCTACTAATTATTGGTTTTATTCGAAAGCAGAAACTTTAGTTGTTTCGGTATTTTTTTAGAAATGTTCCCCCACCAAACTTTCTGACAGAAATAAGGTAATAACTGGTAATAGTTATTTATCCACATTAGTTTAGTGTCTCTATAGTGTTTTTAACACATTTCTCAGTTATACAAAGATGTAAAATATACTACATTTTAGTCATTAATTAGATAATTTAGTCAGAAAAATCTAAAGGAGTCAGATCGAATGAGCTTGGCAGCCATTCTGTGGAGAGATATATGTTTTGCCGAGGTACAAATCGCTTCCTTTAATCTGAACTATACTCCAACTGCAATATAATAGACTTTTAAGAAGTAGGACTATTAACTTATGTCATTGTAAAGTAGAATTCAGAAATATACTTCAGAGTTTCATAATTTCAGCGAGATGGCACTCTATACAAGCGGTAATCGCTGTAATGATATTTTATCTTGATTCTAGGAATATTATCTTTGATTTGTGCTCTATCGTTTTACTACAGTTTACATATCACATTCACATGATATTGTCATATTTGAACATTTATGGTAAAACTCTACTCTGTAGTGTTTTGTGTAGGTATGATAGTTATGATTTAATTTTTATGATCTTAGACATCTTTTTCATGTATATTTTGACTCAAGATTAAATATATTTGAAATTAAATTTTCTGGACCTCGGCATGGTCTGAGTTTGAATTTTTTTTTTGTAAAAATGCTTTCAATTACAAGACCTAAACTTTTTGTTTGTTTAATACTAACGACTGATCTAGAAAAATGTTTCTGAATAGACTACAAACGTCTATGGATGGATATACCTGATTTTTCAATGGTCTACGTCAAAAAATTTTTTTTGAGAATCACTACTCTGTTTTTGTAGGAAATATTTCAAAATGTGACACTCTTTTGTGACTTAGTTTAAGTAGTTTAGTCTAATCAAAGGAAACAAAATAAATATTAAGAAATATTTATTTTAATATCATACAAATAAAACAAATAGATATTTAATATTTTTTTTTATTAAAAAAGGGTATAAATTCTTACATTATAATAAATTAATCTAAGACTAACTTTTAATACATCATAATAATACCATTAATAATAAATAATTTTAATAAATATTTCTTAATACCATTGAATTATTGTCTATCGTTCACAGTAAAATAATAGACTACATTAGTGTGATGTATAAGGCCTTAAAATAGGCAATCCCAAAGTATTATTATATACCTTATGTTCTCTGTACATAAGGATTTAAATTTAATATATTCGAATTTCCATAGTAGTATTACAAACGAAACAGAATGAATATATTAAAAGAGAAATTATTTTTAAAAACATTTCTCCTTCAAAATATTCAATCTGTTTTGGTGCCTCATCCTGTATATTCAGGCGCAATTTAAGGATTCTAACACACTAATATAGTCAATTGCCACGTTATGAATTTTTTAGAAATATCTTCTTCTGATCGTCTTTTGTTTTTATACCGTTGATGTCTATTTGATTCTGTGAGTGCCCCGAACATTTTTTTCCTCTCCTGCTTCTACGGCAAGAACTGAAATATGACAGAACTAGATTGTCATCGTTATAGATTTTTGTGGTTATATTATTTTTGTTTAGAACATTTTGGTGTGTCAAGAACTGAATATTTTACTGTGTGGCCCAAAAAAGCATAAAAGTTATAACTTGTTTCTTCCTTGGTAAAAGAACACAAAATACGTAGATAGTAACCTAGTTTTTGACAAGTCCAAATTATACTTTTTGTGCGTTGCTTTTGAGCTACACTATATACATGGTGAGTCACATAAAAGTTTCAAAATTAACTTTGTTTGAATGAGTTTTCCTAATTCTTTTTATCATTCTGTATATGGCAGAAAATTAAATATTTTCAATTTAACTTTTTGTATACGATACTCTATACCCTGGAATTTGAGATTTCTTATTCACTAATATTGTTATTTTTGCTTTAAAATAACGTAATTTTTGAATATTTTGTAGATTAACTGGGATCTGATTAATGTTCTGAATATATAAGCTATTTCTATTTTTGTTTTATTATCAATTTAACATTAACTTTTCTTTCTTTGTAATATACCTATTTTTTTTAAAGAATCTGATCGTAGAAAAATTTTTGTTTGCAATTCGAGCAAAAAGTTTTTTTCCGCTTTCGACAGGCAACTGTCTGTCTCAAGCGGCAAAGTATCACTTTTTTTGTGAAGAGCACATTTCGTCATAGCTATGCCACACTCAAAATAGCTAAATAAATGCAACAAATACAAATAAGTAACACTAAGCTACTGAATTCAACTTGTATGAGCGGTGATGAGCGGCAGGTGGCTTCAATCACGTTTAAATCTGTCTAACCACGCCTACAAACTCAAATTGATTTCTGCACAATATGACGAATTGTGCTCTTCACAAAAAAATCGAGCTCTACACATAATATAAAAAAACTTTACTTACATTTGAAGCGGATCAATTTTTCCTCCTCCAATGGGTAGCGTTATCGCAAATCCCTTTATTCTGTTGTTCATGGCGATTTTCGTTTCTAAGTCTGCTAAGTGCGAATCTGACACTCGTTTTATTCTGAAATAGAAGAAAAATTACGTTACAAACATGATTTGCTGCATTATTACTACATCTTTTCGATATATATTTCTATCCATCCAAATCAAAGCGCTCGATATACGATTTTGTTGAACAGAGAGGAATAAAAAAATACAAGCTATTCCATTAATGGTAAAGGACAATAAAAAATACTTCGTATTTTTAAGGTTAAAAATTCTGGTTTATTCAGAATTTATCGGTACGAGTCCCGTACTAAATAAAAATAATAAAATAATTTTCTAAATCGTATTTTACGAGTCAGACCACTGGCTTTTTCAGAGTTTGTGTTTTATTTAATTTCCTCTGTTTCGCGATATGTGTAGTATTAAAATTTTAATGTGTACTTTTTACGATCAGATCAGATTTATATTTTCAATCTAAAATTAGATAATTTTTGTATACAATCATTAAAAATAACAATATTTAAATACACATTTTAGAAAATAGGTAAATCTATAATTGTGTATGAATAGCCATTATAAAACTTCACATTCATAACTATTGTTGCCATCCGATAAAAAAGTATTTAGAACATGATTTAAAGATAAAAATTATCTTAAATAATTTCTTATCTTCATTGCCAACGAAAATACTGAAAAATTCAAATTTTCCATTTCTCTTTTCTATTTCGATCAATTTTAGAGAAATCATGTATGGGACAAAAAATTTTCTCTTATAATCATAAAAAATAAAAGTATACTTAAAGGTAGAAAAATTCCCCCAATAAAGCACCCCCAGATGCTCTGACTATGTCCAAAATCTAATAAGTTCACCGAAGGATAGATTAAATCTAAAAGAAGCAAGGCCAGTTTTGCCCCACCGCCCAATTGGAGTAAGATATGAGCCAAATGAACGATATCGGCAAGGAGAACCTTTGTTTTTATTATGACTGCTCTCAATTATTTGTCCGCTCCGAGTTATATCATAGTGCATATGACAAAACCCAGGATTTTTTCTTGTTGAAAACCGTCCGTATTAACTCTAAAACTTCTTCTTTTGCTAGAGGGTTCTAACCTGACATAAATACTCCCCCACCACGCTTGTCATGGTAACGCACAGAAAAATTAACGATTAAACAAAAACTTGATTCCCGTGGTGAGGAAATGCGCAGTTGCCAAGTTATAGATGATTTAATTTTCACTTTAGTTTAGCTGAAATAAGTCATGGGAAAATTGTTGCTATAGGAATACTTATCATGGTAACGAGTGAGCAAACACCCAAATCCTATGGTGAGGAAATGCGTAGTTGCCAAGTCATACATGATTTAATTGAAATATAGTTTAGATAAAATCAGTCACGGAGAAACTTTTGCCATAGAGACAGTTGTCATGGTAACGACTAAACAAAAACCCAAATTCGATGGTAAGGAAATGCGTAGTGGCTAACTTATAGATGATTTAATTTAACTTTAGCTAAAATTAGTTACGGAGAAATTGTTAGATATTCGTTTTCCTATATAAAAGTGACTTAAAAAAAATCATGTCATAGTCTGGACCGACGTGTATAGGATGCCCCACCCTGTATGTGTTAGAAATGGCTTTATATTCGTTCTAAGTGGGGTAATAATAGTTATGATTGTATTATTATGTTTGCCATTACCTTGGTCTCGGACCATTAAACCCGATCCTTTGGAGAGCATAATATGTGGGGCCGTGTAACCAACACGTAGAAGACCTTTAGTAAGGGATACACTTGGCGGATAAAATCCTCGACTGCATCATATGACATACCTTCCCGTATATTATAATTGTTTTTATATTACTAAAAAGTATTAATTACTATTACTTGCTTGTAATAAGCACTATAATAATAGAATATAAGTACTGGCCCATCGTCCAATTTAGGATGATATAACTCGCAATGGACAAGCAATTGAGATGAGTCGTAATTAAAACAAATGTTCTCCTTAAAAAATCTTTAAATTGGTATATTACTTATCCTTATTGGGGGTGGAACGGCAATTTCCCATACAATTCTGCCCATTGACCTTTGAAATTTGTTTTTTTTTATTTGTAGGAATTGTAGGTTATGTTATTCTTCTGTTCTATTAAGGTTGTAAAATGTTTTTTTGGGCTAAACATTCAACATTAGTACTTTTGCTAGCGAATTATTAGATCGGCATCTGGGAAAAATTCAAATAGATATGTATATAAACGTGTTTTTACATGTATTTGGTGTTAATTATTACCTGCAAGCATTTAGAACATTTTCAGAATATGACGTACATGCTGGGTATACTGCCGTACTAAGCACAAAGGTGGTAACTGTAATAAACCTAAATTCGAGAAATCGATGTGTCAACTTTGTGGTTCTGAAAATCGGCATTATAAAGTTTCAGGTGTGACTGTTTATAGTCATTTTGAAAGATAATACTTCAATTCTGAGATTTTTTCAATTTTTATTTAAGATATTTAAAGATTTGATAAAAAAATCATAATCTTTTCAACTTACTAATCTATTTTTTTAATTGTTTATTACTACAGCATATTGCTATATGTACTAGTTATAATAATTAAATTTCTTATTAACCAATTTTGAGAAATGACAAAAAAATAGAATATAAAAAAGGAAGAAAAAAATAAAAGCTACAGATGATAATTGAATTGCATAACATTAAATCTGTTAGTAATATCAGTTCTCAGTATTTTATTTTTTACTTCATCGTTATCATCTTCACAATCATTATTCGCAAAATCTTCCCAAAATTTGAACCTAGTTTTTATTTTATTTTTGGAAATTCCGTTAGAAGTCTTTTTCTTATTTTGTTTTAAAATATCGTCTTTGATTAATTTCATCTCAAGGAAATTAACTATTTTGTAATCTGGGTTCTTAAATGAATTTTTATAAAATAACGCCAATCTTCTCTTTTCTACTTTAACTTTACTGAAATTTTTAACAAATTTACTAAAGCATTTTTGACGTATCTGAAAAATACAAAAGGTTACGGACTTATTTGTTTTTAAAAACAATAAAAAAAGCTTAGTTTTTTGTAGATACGGCACTTTAACCTAGTATTTGAGGTACAAAAGAAAGATACGACTATTTTTATAGATCTATTTCAAATAAAATATTGACTTTTGTGTTTAATAACTTAATAATAATGAAAATTTAATAATTTAATCTTAGCACGGCAGTATATGACTTTTAGTATCTTCTAAGAATGTTTTTTTTTTAATTTTCCGTTTATGAGTTATTATGAATACAGACTCACAGACAGACATAAATCATTGCGAAATTTGTCAAAATGGATTCAGGGGACCCCAAAATGTAAAGATCAATCGAAACTCAAGATCAAAAAAATTACCTGAATGCCCGAACACCAATGCTATTTTGATGAAGTTTTCATTTTACAACTACCTTTTCATCTAGTTATTAAACGTTTGTCATTTGTTTTACTTTTTTTTGCAATAATTCAGAAAACAATAAGATCATTTATTTGTTTTTTACAAAATTTACTCTAAAAAGTAATTAATAATTATCATTTGTATCCCAAAATAGAATACCAAAGGCTACAAGCTCATTGTTACTCGAAAAACTAAAAAATATTAAGATATATGAAAGCCCATTATGAATTTCTAAATTGCGTCAAAAGTGAAAACATTCAGAAAAGGTTTTTTTTATTGGCTAGATATCTAAAATATCCAGTTGACATAATGTTGACAGTAAATATATAAAACATATACAAAACAACTTATTTCTATTTTGAAAAAGTCTGTCAGAAAAGGATAAACCAAAAAAGTACTTACACGAGAACAACTTTTGAATAAATAATTCTGAAACCTAGGTAGAAATTAACAGTGCTGTTCCTGAAGTGGCGTTGGAAAACAGTAACAAAGCCTAGACAGAATAGACATGAAAAGAAATGAAACAAAAATTAAGAATGGCATATATATGAAGCTTTATTTAATAAATTAAACTACGAATTATTTTAGTAATTTGTTGTGCTACCTTCTTCATTTTATGAAAACGTATTATATAAAATTTGGTGGGTGAAAGAGAGACGCATACGCCAAATTTTACAATAAACTGACGATTTTATTTAAAATTTTGGTGGACGTTTTGGTAGAAACGAAAATTAATAAGACAAATTAGATGCATAATTATTTCAATGCTAATACAATTTCAAATAAAAAATTTGAATTTTGTAATGAAATATAATGAGTTTTGCTTCAAAAGTTAGTGACTATTCACTTTAATCCGGAACAGGTAAGCCAAAAGGGCAAACCCAAGTTAAGGTAAAAAGACAAGTTTCAAGAGCTGTCAAGAACCTTGAAATTGATAACTGTAGAAACGGAAACAATCCAAAGAAAGTACAATATAAATAACTCTGTAAAATGAAGAAAATTAAAGAATTAGTTACTTGTCATGCTTCTAGTGAAATATATTGTGCCTACCCACTTCAGTTTATAATTCATAAACGTAAAACAACTCTATATTCAGAAAACGTACAAAGGTATTGAAATTATGTATTCAATGTATGAAAACACGTAAAAACAATAATTGTAATACAGATGGAATTAATTTTTTAGTATGCATAAATTCGAAAGTGGGCGTTTTAAAAAATAAATTCTACATAATTTAATTGAGGTCTAACATTTTAACACCGGCCATCTCTTTAACGTAGAAAACGTAATATGAACAATTACTAATGGATTAAAAATTTAATAAAGGCTATAAAGCTATTCTGGATTATGCGGATTAGTTTTTGTTTAAAGCTGCATTGAATGAAATTCGTTCAATTCCATAAAACAAAAATAATAAAATAAAACCGATATTTCTTGTACCTTACTGTTTAAAATACCGCATAGTGTATGTCACACTATTAATTTGTACCTATTTTGTGTCATTTTATATGTATGTTAATATCGAATAAATGAATATCGAAAGTGACCAAGATAGCCAAAGAGGGGGAAAATAAGCTATATTGTATTTCCGATAAAACGTTTTCATAAACAGAATAAGAAATTTTTATGTATTTA